ACACCCCCAAAATCCCGATTCGGTTCAGAAATATGGATTTTAAGTTGTAGGCATTTTTAGCTTCCTCAGCCTCTCCTACGACTGTTTCATCGCATACGATCCCCCAAAAGCCTTATTTCTCCCCATAACGGGCTTGTTTGTCACTACCATTTCCTCATAGAGTCAATGTTTTATTTTTCTTTATCGGCCGTTTTCTCAAAACGCGATTTTTCTCTATACTTTTTGAATAAGTCCACCATGTTGCATCCATCTTCATGATATTTTCACAGAATGAAGAGAAGATGTAGTACAAAAAATAGTTCGGTTAATTTTTTTATATATGGAATAGGTTTTTCTTGGTGGTGTCTGGAGTGTGAATTTTCACGCATTTTAACAAACTTGAATACTACCTCAGGAAAAAATTCATAAAGAGTCTTCTACATTGTATAGGATAAAATCAATAGACAGACTTTAAGATCCAATTTTTGCTAACTTTAATGCAAATAAAACAATCAATTTCCATGAACAATAAGTACGGTATTCATTATGTAAGACATGTCAACAAAATCCAATATGGCTGCTGTATCCATGGAAAAGAAACGTTTTTCTCAATGTAATTGCGGATTTGAAGACCCCTTACTGAGTGAAATTCGGTAAAAATTGGTCCTCTAATAAGCGAGATAGCCTTCAGGTGTAAACTCCCCCACCCTCGCTCCCCTTAAAGACTGTTCATTTGTCTTGCTTTTTATTTTTTAAAAACCCTATCTTTCTGTAATAAAAGTCGAGGTATTTTGCTATTGAAAGACATGGGGTCATCTAGTGTCAGCGGATAATTAGAGAGAAAATCGCCACCAAAATTGTGTGACTTCCAAAGCTTGGGAGTCCTTAAAACTGCTACAACGTTTACATTAATTTTGCTTTACCTTTGATCAACTTTGTAAAAAATTTAAAAAATTAAATGATAAAAAAGTTGCCCAGCGTGTGGAAAATGTGGGTTTATTCGATTCCGTTATTTTGACTAACACCTGATTTTACCACCATGCCAGGCATAATAATAATACTCTGTTTAAATTACCCAGGGAGAAATGGTCTGAGGACTCAATTTGCAGCTGCTAACGATTTTCTCCTAACTCGCAGTTGTGACGTCCGTTAAGCAAGGGGCAGATGGAAATGAAC